GCAACCATAGCGGTTTGTGACCTCTTACAAAAAAGGTGTTTAGTTAGCGTTTCCACTTAAGATGTATTTCCTCTCTAAACTTCTCCGATAATTGTTCAGGTTTGCTCAAAGTGTAACAAAGAACCAGTATTTTTACTTTCGATATTTGTTTACCTCGCGTAAATTCTGGTTAGTTTGAACCTTTAATTTCCTACAAATCGATCCCTAAAATTTTTCCTGAAAAAAAAAAAAAAAAAAGCAGGACTTTGAATATTAGGTCTCGGCCATCAATCGGTATAAAGCATCACAGACAAATCAGGTTGGCTGGTAAATCATCTACCACGGTATAATTAATTTAAAATACTTCAATATCGATATATATTGTGATCTAGTAGACTGTCTGCCTACACGAACTTCTGGTATTGATGAACACATAAATATTCTTCCTGCTGGAATGTGATGTGTAAATGAACACGCTGTAACCAAATAAAGGGAAGAGAATGTTTCTCAAGTGCAGAGCAATAGACCGGAGAGGCTCCATAGTGACTTGTCCTCCTCTGGTCCCATCTGGATGCCACATGAGAGCTGTGTGAGGTGACTGCCCCCTCTGCTGGGCTCTGCAGGGACCAGCAGGCTGCAAACCTCCCCAGATGAGCGATGGACTCTGCTGCAGCTCGTTCATTCATACGACTGTCCGTGTCTCTGAATGGATGCAGCATGTGTAGAGACACCATTGCTCCTTTTTCTTTGCATTAGTTCACCTCTACTTCAGTTCATTAATGCAGAGAAATGAGAAACAGAGTGGTGGAATGCAAAATGTATTACCATTAAGTACTTGTATAGTGTAGTTTTGATTTTATGGTTCTTATACTCTGAGGGAATTTCAGAGGGAAATATTGCACTTTTTACTCGGCTTTATTTTACTTTAGCACAATAATTGACTGACATACAGATTAAACAGCCCAATAAAACCAGCTTCATCTCGACCAACCACACGATAGTAATCCTACATTATGCAGTAAATAACTATATGAATGGGCCCATTTGGCATAACGAGTACTCTGACTTTTATTACAGTACATTTTACTAATTCTGTTCATTCAATTCATTTTGAATGCAGGACTTTACTTGTAACTGAAATAGAAAGGAAATAAAAATGCGCCCCCATGATGAGTAAAGACCCAAAAGAGTATAAAAGTATAAGAGTGTGTCAATAGTTCATGAATTCAATTACTCTTACAGTCATAAACCTCATATAAATGCAATAACATCTACAAATTGTATTAATTCTCTTGCACAGGCCCTGCAGCACTCAGAGCTCCGGTCTGTTACATTTGGAGGGGAACTTGTGTGCGTGACCGTGTTACCGGCAGCAAAGCGCCGACCTCCGCCTCCGGGAAAATAATAGTTTGTTATCTCGTACTTGGATGACTTTAGAAGCGAGACCTTTGCTGGGAATATGACAGGAATGAAGTAATGTGTCTGGACCCCCGCTCTCAATCTTAAGAGTGCTTCTTTGTTTATGCTCCTGCCTCATTCCCCAGGAGAACAGCACTGAGGCTTTAAAAAGAGAGGAGGAGGAGGAAGAGTGAGAGAAAGACTGTAAATATTTTCTCAAACGTATTAATTGAAATTTACTTTGAACTGCTCACTGGACCGTGGTGACAAGGATCAGGTGCCAGGGACGTAGCGTTTTTGCATTGCAAATGTAATTTTCAGTTTTTTCCCCCTCTCCCTAGTGCCCAGGAGGCACTCGAAAATTGCTACCAGATATGTTTTTTCATGAGCCATTTTCTTCCGGTTGAGCCTCCCTTTATTCCAATACCCATTGCGATTAGTTTTCTGGATTGAGCTACGATGTGGTTCCGTTGTTTACTGAGCTAGAGCGTCAGTCTTTATGCGGAATTGTATTCTCTTCATGCCCAGATAGAGCCTGATGGAGGGGAAATTTTGATTGCACAATATGTATGGGGAAATAAACAGCTGATGTGCTTCAAGTTTTCATTCATCACACTATTGTATGGGGCACTTCTTATTTATTATTTTCAAATGTGTTGCCTATTCGGCGCATGTTAAGTAGCGGGAATGCTGCAGTGATTTAAATACAAATTAATGTTTGGATATTTATTTTCCTCTGTACACACCAAACACTGAGCAGTCACCTCCTCATACTGAGCATGATATTGCTAGAGGTATTCAGATACTGAAATACAAATGACCACGCTGTCACAAAACACTACCACTATATTGGCTATTTCTATAATAACGATGTGAAAGGAGTCGCTCGTATTGATGAAGAATTATCAAATGAAAATGCAGCTCTCCTCTGCTTTTAAAAGGAGCTTCATAGTGAGTTGCAGCTCATTGTCTCGCATGTCCGGTCCACAGCTTTACTTTTTTTGATTCACTCTCACAGCATCGTTTTCAGCACGCAGCTGTTTGCAGAGAAACAGCTCTGATAGACCTACCGTACACGACCTGCCCAGCACCAAACAGCAGGCAGAAACAGTTAGCGACTAGCTGCTGAACATAGTGCAGCATCTAGCATCTAAAGAGACAGATGCTTCTCTCAGGAGGTGGTGCAGACCAAAAACAGAGCTATAAGAAAGTGAATAATGGACTGATGAATGCTAATGTTGTCGTGTAGATAAGCAATTTGTTTTGCCATAAAGTTCACCACATCAACTTTACAGATGATGATGATATGTCACTGAAATCAGTTATTTTAGGTTTAAGTGCAGTACATGAGTAAATGTACTTACTGGTATTTATATTCCACTACTTGCTATCGCAATTTCTGCACAATGGATGCTTCGATCAGGAGGTCGCTATCAATAACTTTCTGGCTCTTTCCCCTCCTATATGTAACCTGGTCACACGGGCTCACTGCAGGAGAGACTGGTGGAAGATTATAGCTCATTCGTGTCCCGGGTCCCAATGATCCCACGCAGTCTGTCTGAGACACAGAGATCAATAACTCTTCAGAGTGGGTTTTAGCACCTTTAAAAATAACTCCCTCAAAGCTTTCAGTGGGGGAGTGTTAAATGAAATATCCCTGGGCAGCAACCAGAAGAGGTTCTGCAGTTAATGACCATCATTGTCTGATTTGATGGTCGCAAACAAGGCCATTGCAGCCGCATATGGAGTCATATTCCTCAAGGAAAATGGTTTAACATTGACCAAAAGCTCTTCAACTTCATAGTGGCTCTGCTGCCTTACTAGCTGGTGTTAATGGTTCCCATTTCATCCGGGCGCTCCCCAGCCCCCCTACTGTACGCCTTCCTCAATGTCGAGCCTTTCAGCTTCTCTGTCAAACGGCTCAACAGGCCGACTCGTGATCGCCCTGATGGATGAGCGAACCAGGAGAGCGGCCGTGAGTCTCGCACTCGAGCTAGCGGAAGTCTAGCACCCCGCTACGCCCACGCCGAGCCTTCCAATCGCCCCCCAGAGTTTGACACTACACTACATTTCCCCTGTGATTTGTGGCCAGATTGAGGTTGAAAGAGGCAAGGAAATGTTCCGTCCTCATGAGAACAGATGGATGTTACAGTGCTGCAGACTGAGCAGAGGGTTTTTCCTCTCCCACCCCACCACCACCACCCCCTCCCCCCTGAAGAACCCTCTTGCTTTACAAGGGGTTGGTTTCATGCGCTATAATTGACACCTGATGACTAGCTTTCACAGCACATTTTCAGTAACGACCTGACATTTATTTTCTTCTTTTGGAATGACATAGAACAGTCTGTCCTTTCAGGAAAGTGATCTATTTTGTAAAACACTTTTAGTATATTGAGCACTTCTTATTTGTCCTCTTTGTGCTGTTTCATACGAGATCAAAGTTGAAACCCCTCTGTTTGTGATAAAAGATGGGCGGTAATGCCACGAAATGATCGCGTGATGTAACATACATGCAATCGGTAGAATGCCAGGGCAGCAAATGGTCAACGTCTTTTTCATCCCCCACCCCCCACTCAAATGTTTGATCTCGTCTGTGAAAAGCGAAGCCTCCGGCGCCTCCCTTGGGATGTTTGATGTTATAGATCAGAGCATGTGGTGGTGCAGGCACTTTGGCTGTGGGGGCTTCACCAATACAGCATGCCACATCCAATCTTCTCACCATCAGATAACTTCAAAGAATCTGCAAAACACCACTTCCTAAAAATCTGGAGTTTCCCACTGGTGTTGTCTGTTAGATTGGAAGCAGGTTATTGAAGTTTCCTGGGAAAAAATAAATAAAACACACCTCTGCCTCTGCCGAAATCTATTATCGCCTCAGGCTCTGAGATATCGTAGCACGCCGCAGATTTTTTTCCATCTCTGTCTGATTCTTCTCTCTTCTGTGCATTGATCTCCTCAGCTCTGCCCTGCCAATAGCTTCTCCTCCGTGAGACCCTTTCCCGTCCTCCATCTCTTATCCATTATTCATCACTCTCAGCGCTTTATGCCAGGCCATAATACCTCTTACACTCAGACCATCCTTTTGTGTTCTGAAGCCGTTGCTTTCTCGGTAGAGATGCTGAAACAGTCGCAAAAGTCATAAGAATACATCATCTGGGAACCATGAATATCCGGTCAAAATGATCAAATCTGTCAAATGATGTCGTGTTATTTCACTGAATAAGTGAAAACCTTGACAGGTCAGAGGATCACCAAAGTCAGTTGAATTTATCTTCATGTCTTCCATCTAATAGTTGAGATATTTCAGTCCAAAGTGGTGAAAGAAATGATGACAACTATGCAACCATTTTTTAACTCTGCTTTTCTGTCAATATGCATATCTTATGTGTATATTTGCAAATAAAAATTATTGGCCTTTTCAAAGTATATTTCTTGTTATTTATCAGCTGTGAATGGTGGCTGTTTCACGATGCAACTCGGAAGCCTCAACTTTTTTTATTTACTTTTTATTCAAGCTTTTAGACTACTGACATTAAAGAAAGTTGAAAACGTTCACTTTTGTTCTGTGGTAACTACATTTCTCTGACTTGTTTTAAGTGTTCTCTCTCTCTCTCCCTCCACAGAGGAAGTCGTTGATCGCCACCAGTCTGATTGTGGTGGTGTCGCTCTTCGTGGTGGTGGTGAACTACTCGGAGAAGCCCTACTTTCTCCTGCAGCCAGTGTTCGGGCAGACGTTCAGCAGCCACTGGATTTTTTCCAAGCAGCCGTACAAGGCCTTCAAGCCTCACCTGGGCTATGTTAGCATCCCCAAACAGGAGGTGAGGGACACAAATGGACAAACACTGACCACCAGGCACAATCAGAAACAGCATCTTCATTCATTAAAATTTCATATTTGTTTCATCTGTACAAAGATGTTTGACTAGACTTGAGAGTTGCTATTTAGTCTCATCACTTTGTTCAGCATCATGGTACCTTTCCTGCTGCTAATGCTAATAGTGTCTCTTCTATAAAAATGAGTGCTGGGCAACGATTACAATTTTTAATCGCGATTAATCGCATGATGATGAAATGTATTTAATGAAAAGATGGTGCACTTTGAACCTGAGCTGAAAATGTCCTCTGCAGTCGTATTAGTAGGGAGCTCTCTTGTGCAGAGAAATTGTTCCTGTAAGTCCCCGTCCCACACATGTTAAGGAGTGTGAATAGACGGCACTCCACTGCATAAAAAATCCCTTTCAAAATAAAAGCACAGGATATATATATATATATATATATATATATATATATAATTTATTTTTTTCCAGGCAAAGGCCCGCGACCCACTGAAAACGGGTCCGCGACCCACCAGTTGAGAATCACTGCATTAGATGATATAATATTCTTGTTGCTGATATAATATATTCCTGAGAGGAACATGGTATCCTAGGATGTTCACAGCGCAGGAAATTATGCTCTCGTTTGGTAATCCACCCTGCCTCCTTAGCGGTGGATAATGTTCCTCTCAATGTCTCCTTTGTGATACCTAATGGATTTGAGGACAGTTTTGGATAATATCCAATTGTTATCCAATTGCCATAAGGCTTTTCAACATATTTGTCCTTATCCATTACTACCGCCGCTCCTCCTTTTTCAGCCGGTTTTATCATAGTTGACTCATTCTTGGCTAGACAGTCCAAGCCCTGTTTTGGGGATTTGGTCAAACAGTCTTATCAGGTGTAGAGAACAAAATGTCAATGTCAAAGTCCACCTTTTTTTTGTGAAGTCAGTCAGTGTGACATTTGATGCTGGAGGCAAAAAGTGAGACTTAAGAAGAGCTTTTCCGGTCCGTAGTGACAGTGTTTTGATGGTACCACACTTTCATGTGGAGGTTGTTGTAAATGGGTGGGGGAAAAAGATAACTTTTGACGAGACACTGACTGTGTAAGAAGTGTTTTGGATATATATTTATTGCCATATGTCCTTGTTCTTATTCCTGAGGCTCTGCCACTGCTATTGCCCAATATCACTGTCCTTGAACACATCCTGCCCCCTCCTTGTTTTGTTCTTTTTATAATAGATCTTGTGGGTTTGGGCCACCCATCCAAACAAATGTACTGTATGTGAATGAGGCAGCTGGGGAGGGAACAGAGAAGAGTACTGGTACAGGAGCAAAGCCATGTACTGCTGTGGAGAAGGGGAGCGGCAAAAACACATTTTAGCCACCTTAAAGAAAGGCCCACCTGACAGAAAATCAATATCAGTTTAAGTGTACACTGTATTTAGAATATTCACACTGCATTAGCTTGCAGTCAGACAGCCTTTTCCAATGGGGAAATGTATGCTATATCTTCAAAACACAAAATACAAAATACAAAAATAGTCATTTGACATTGCCGAACACGGGGGTTGCTGGTCTCCGCTGAACTATCCCTTTTAAACACCAAAGTTTCACAATAACACAAACAAACTAACCGGTCAAGGCAGCAGTAGAGCAACACACACCTGTGTTCTGCAAGGATTAATTACTATTTTTGTCAAAGGAGCGTAGATAAAGGCTTCAGTTCCCCGCCTGAAATGTCCGCCTGACAGCAAGGTAGAGCGGTGAATATGTTCTAAATACAGTGGACAGTGGACACAACTGGTGGGCCTTTCTTTAGGTGCCAAACATTATTGTTTCAGTACTTTGCTTTGCTTCCATGCCTTTCACTGCTGCCTGTTTATCGAAACTGGGGGCATGCCGACTGCCATCTACTGTGGGTAATACACTGACTATGGATAAAGTACCTCATACAACCCCACGTCAAAACAAACCCCCAAACTATCCCTTTAAAGGTGCTCTTTACACTACCTCTTCAGCACCAAACTGCAGAACATAGTGAAACATTTGGAGTTGGTGAGGAACAAAAGCGGAGCTAAAAGAAGAGGGGACACTGAACTCACATTCATCAGGAGTCCAGAAAAACTCCAAATAATTGATAATGTTGCTCTGTGTCCGCTGCATGCAACTCAATAAGGTCACACGCAGGTTCTTTCTTTTATAGTGCATACCATATTCTATAACCCTCTGTTAACATCAACCTGCCATCACAGAGCTTCACCTCGTTAATGAAGGTGTTCAAAATGCACTTATGGAAACAACATAGCTCCTCCTTGAGGATTTTCTTAATTCATGATATCCAATTTTTTGGGCTAGATCTGTAAACGCCTGTTTGAAGTCTTCTGTGTGCATGATTTCTTTTTAATTCCAAACACCCATGTCCGTGATCCTTCTTCCGCCTTCAAACAGCTCTGTGCTGTATATTCCCCGCACAATTTATGGAAATTGAATTATCAAAGCCTTTTAATTCCCACCACATAAAAATGCAAAAAGTAACCTGCGTGTTTGTTGTTTGGGAAGGCAGCCGGCGGAAAACTGAAATTGTGCTGGTGGTATGCACGCAGGAAAATTGTATATTTTGCTTGCAGAGATGTATGCACGTTTCCGTCTTGACGGGGAATGAAGACTGTGCTTTCGGTTTGGGCTGCAATACATCTAGATTTGGAGTTGCGATGGATCCGTTGATCCTTAATGAGAAGTGGATGCCTAATATTCAGCTGGCTGATATTTGCAGATTAATGCGGAGCGTCACCCTCTGCCTCCGGAGAGAACATGGGCCCAGAGGCAATCACGCCTTACAACCAATCTCTATGTCTGCACCTCCTTCTGCCTCCAGACAAGCCTGCTTAAATCACTGCCCTCTCCCAGTGGAGACTAATGCAAATCACAGGAAAGACTGGCAGCTTCTGCAGAATTAGGCCTATTTTCCGCTCAAATACCCCACCAGTGAGTTCTCTATATCGAATCAGAAGAGGGCAGTGATTGGCCTGAATGTGAGAGTCGAAAGTGTTCTGCACGCCCCCGGAATTTCTGACAAAGGAAGGACAGAGTAGTGGAGGTCTGGTCAAGGTGATATTCTTTTGCCAGGTGTCCCGAGCGATTACATCCGGAGTGAAAGCCTGCTGTGGGAGTTGTCAGCCTCTGTTAAGCACACGGCAACACCTTAAGAAGCAGCACTATTTCTCCCAGACAGTAAGGCAATCGTACGCGATCCACAGTGAGGTGTCATTTCAGGTGTTATAAACCTCCTGCAAGCATGTATAATGCATAACCCGGTAGCATGGGAATGGTCTGCCTTATTTTCTCCATTTGATTGAGTCTGCCTCCAGGTGTGATAAATCGTTCCTGCTCTGCTTTCAGGAGGAATAGAAAACATTTGTCTTGTGGCACTTTACATTCATGCCTCTGGTCTTTCACAGGTGGAGAGAGAAACTCAATTATTTTTCATTTAGTCCTGAGGTTTTTTTTTTCTTCTTTAAATTCAAGCCCTTTGAAATGTACACAATGGCCAACATGAACACACAAAGTGCTTCTATTTGTAGATTTCTTTGTGAGTCATTTTAATGAGAAGGCTTCTGGCTCTGGACCAGCTGAGACTGTACTATATGCTACTGTCAGCATGCTAACATGCTGATGTTTAGCAGGTCATGTTTAGCCTTGTTCACCATCTTAGTTTAGCATGTAATATGCTAACTTTTGCTAATTAGAACTAAACACAGTACAGCTGAGGCTGATGGAATGTCAGTAGTTTCTATCAATCCATAATTTGCCCCTGCTCATCCTTTATAAACCACTCAAATGGGGGGAGGACATTGGGCGAGAGGCAGGGTACACCTTAGACTGGTTTTCTGTCTCATATTTTTTCAGCCCTGTGATTGTCTGGTGACCTTTCACACTCACACCTACGGGCAATTTTATTGAAGATTATTAGATAGTAGAGCTGAAGATAGACGGGAGTGGAGAAGACGAAAGGGACGACATCTATCAAAGCGCTGTTGGTTGGATTCAAACCTGGGCCACTGCTAAGGACTCAGCCTTGGTAGCTGGCGTGCAAAATCGGCACCTTATCTAATTAAAGTCATCCTCTATTTGATGGCATTTTACACATTAACTGTATTTTACCTCTTTAGCGGTGATAAAATAAATATTCAGATCTTTTTTTAAGTAAAAGTAGTGGTACTACAGTGTATAAATACTGTACATGCATATAAGAGACCTCCATTCAAAATCTTACTTAAGGCAGAATGAGTAGGATTTGTCGGATGCGGTTTGTAAACACAACGTTCAAAGGCCGGAGGAGGGTCAGGGTGCAGCCAACTTCAGATACATTCTAGTTTTGGAACGAGCTTTGTCCACGTACCTCTTCCCTTGCTGTATTTGCGGGTTTTTTAGGCTCTGTGTCTGTCATTTTTGTAGCTTCCTCTTGGATGCGTGCAGGTTCTAAAATGAAGTTTTTTCCTCACCTGCCACTGTGGTAGCTCACTGAACATTTCTACCACCCACTCAGAAGTCTGCCATTTCTGAAATCTTTGTAGAGCACTTTAAACAGCATAGATATGGAATACATCCTACCTTAATCCCTGACTATTTTTGATTTAGGAATTGCTTCTTGGAAATAATATATCGTAATCTGATTTAAGGTTACCTGCCATGGTGACAGGTGACTTTAAATGTGTACCTGCCACAGCCAACATGCACCCTGTATTTGGCAGGTGGCAGCTGATAATTGCATTCCCTGGATGAGTGCTTATGATCTGGCACCTGGTCGCTATGTTTTTATAGAGGTTGACGCCCAGAAACGTGCCGAACACAGAAACATACAAAAGAAAAGAAGATGATTTAGGCAGAGGTTAGGCTCTCTGCAGACACAGACACTTCTGTGGGTCATCAGTGATGATTGAGAGGGATTCTTTTTGTTGTTTTTTAGGGAAATCCTACTCATTCGGCCTTTAAGTAAAAGTACAATTAGCTTCAAAATCTAGTTAAAGTACCAAACGTAACAGGATTATGCAGAATGGCCCATTTCAGAATAATGTATATTTTATTAATGGATTATGATTATTGATGTATTAATGTGTACATCACTTTAATGTTTTAGCTGGTAAAGCTGAGGCTAATTTTAATTTGTTTAATATACTGCTGGGTAGCTTGAATTCATCGATTAAGTCTTATGTCATCTGATCTTAACATATAGTAATACTTCAGAAAATTGTTTGATAATGTTTTGGCTTATTAATACGAATCTGCAAAGTAACTAAAGTTATCAGATAAATGTAGGAAAGAAAAAGGTTCAATGTTTGCCTCTGGAGTAGAAGTATGAAGTAGCATGAAATGAAACCTAAAGAATTGTACTTATGTACAGTATTTAATTAATTATAAATAGCTACATTCCACCACTGCTCTCCCAGGAGGAGCATATGGAATTAATCACTTTTCACCATGCAGACAACTTCAGCTAATCAATGAATTTGTAAGTGCCATGGAGGCGTCTTACACTGGGACTTGGCACATTAATGTAATAATTATTGCTTATTAATTAATCGTGTTTAGAGCATTTTAATGAATGTCAAGGTTAAGTTCACACCCCATTGCTATAATTTAATGATGACCGAGTTCCAGGCTTTAAGCCCACTTTTAAATAACCCACTTTATTTTTGACACACTGCCGCATTAAAATCTCAGGCTTTGAGTAGATGTTGTACTTATCAGAGAGTGCCGAAATTATGTGGATTATAAAAGCGCACTCTGGTTTGCGGTTACTTCATGAAACGCTGAAACAGCATCGTCGTGAAACTGAAACATGAATCACAGCTGAGAGGACGAAGAGGCCGTAACATTTTATTGATTTACAGGACGTAATGTTTCCAATCATATATATACTAAATAAAATTGTTCCAGTTAGGTTTTTAGTCATTAGATGAATTTCATTAATGCATGTAAATGTGATGAATGTTCATGCGAAGCTAATTATGTTTCTATTTTTGTTACTGTAAACTACTCGGATGCCTGTTTTGGTTTTTGAATGAAGCTTAATTAATGCGGGAAATCTCTCACTTGGTTCTCTTCACAAATGTACAACGTCTCTCTGAGCTGCTCTACTGCAGCAGTTGTGGGTTAAATGCCTATGTCTTCGCATGCAGTTTGCCAGCCAGTGTTCCCCACAGAGTTCAGCCAATCTGTGTGTGCCGAGAGGCGTGATGGAGTTATGAGCTGAGCTAAGGGGCAGCGGCTTGATGATGGACGAGCTGCTGACAGCTCAAGGCTGCTGTGATGTGTGTCTCAACCAGCCAGTAAATGGAGAGCTAGCAGCCCGGGCCCAGAGATCGTTTCTTAACCTGTGTGACTGAATCCACACATGAGAGGAAAAGCAATAGCAGGTAGCTCTGGTTTAGAGTATTCAGAATCCTAAGCTGTTGATCTTTTGCATGCATCACAATGAGTCACGTGAGTGCTGATAAGCCAAGTCGTCGTAGTAGAATTCACTGGGTTTTCTTCTGGGATTCTGTTTGCACACTAAAACTCTCTTGTTTGTTGATTAAACGCAGAACACACAAGAGAGAGTTTGATGTTCGTCGGCCGGAACGCAGCACAAATGTACTTTATATTCAAACCAGGGACATTATAGTTATTCCCCATTAAGCAAATGATCCAACAGGGTTTAGTCACGACACAATGCTTTTTCTTTTTTAACTTTCTCTCTTCTTGTTCATTCACTTAAGTAAGTTTAATCTCGTCAAAACAAACCAAGCATATTAGCTTCAATTAGGCAAATCTCCCATTTTGGATTCAGAGGGAGCTTTCCTTCTCTGTTGGCAAAGCGTGGCTAAGAGCTATTATTGGAGATTCATTACAAATCCCCTCGCTCCAGTAAAGCATAATAAGATATATAAATGAAATATATACAGTAAGATAAATGACGCAACTCTCTTACTTCTCCGTCCTGCATTGCCGCAGTGAGACTCTGTGTAACCTCTGAGGTCCCGCATTCAATTAACTTAATCAATGTTAGTCCTGGGCACAGTGGCATTAATCTTAAGACGTAAAAGAAAATTACATAGAGCCATAAAGCCCTGATGATTTCTTTTTCATAAATAATTATGACCAAATGTATTTTATGTTATAATTTGCTATTATTTAGCCCCTTGCCAAAACATTACTTTGATATTATTATTGCATATATATATATACATCATAATATATCACAAACTATCACATTATGAGATGAACATGACATGAGGTGCAGTATATTTTAGAAGAAAACTACATTCGGAGGTTATCAGTCAGTATTAAGAAAATAACCTATTAACCATTTGATGTCTTAATGGGATTACTATCTTTTAAGAAATTGTACAATCGGAGGATATTTATCACTTTTTTCCAAATACTTGAAAATAAGATATAAAGATTTTCTCTGTTCCTGAAAACAAAACAGCCATAAATTGTTGAAAGAGTTGATGATCCGTAGCATTGATTACCTCAACCGTAGATAAGATTTCTGGTTTTAAATCCTGCTTTTTTGTCTTTATTCTGTTCTCCGGTGGTAATTTCCAGACAGCCGCTGTTCCCTCACCGAGCTTTCTTTCGTTTCTAGCCTCTCGATGATCGGGGATGTTGTTATCTGTATATAAGGAGGCTAAAAGCCTCGCTCTCCAGCTATGAAAGAAGATGATAAAGCACTGCAGTATTTTGCACTGTGATATATTTCCTTTCTCTTAGGTCTCTGTTCTTATTATCTAGTTTTCTTGTACCTCTATTGTGTGAGCGGAACCACATCCTTGTTCATTGTTGCCTTGGTTGTTGATATAAGTTATAGTTTGCATGGTCTCTTTCGCCGTAGTTGTAGCCTCTATTAAAACAGAAACAATAAGTCTTGCATATTTCATTAAGCTTGTGCATTATAATAGTCAGCATCCTGACCTGAAAGACTTAGATCTTGACTTGCAAAAGGCACATGAACATTTGTGACTGGACTCGGACCTGTCCCTGTAACTCAACTAGGACTTGTCTTAATACACTTAAGACTTGCCCTGACTACATTGTTACTCAACTTGGCCCTGTTTTCATTGTCTTGAGACTTACCCTGACATACTTCCTCAGACTTGTCCCCGAGGACTCGAGACTTGTCATGGACTTGTCTCCACTATGATAATGATGACTTGTAACGGACCTGCTTCCTCTCCTCCAGCCTCTGAAGCTGCACTGTGAGCTCTGCAGCATCGTGTCCAGCTCTGGACAGATGTTGGACCAGGCTGCCGGCCCGCAGATCGACCGCTCTCCCTGCATCTGGCGGATGAACAACGCGCCCACGCGGGGCTTCGAACGTGACGTGGGCCAGCGCACCACGCTGAGAGTCGTCTCGCACACCAGCGTCCCCCTGCTGCTGCAGAAGCCCCAGTACTTCTTCGGGCAGGGCAACGACACGGTCTACGTCGTGTGGGGGCCGCTACGAAACATGAGGAAGGACGGGAAGGGCATCGTGTATAACATGCTCAGGCAGGCGGCTGAGAATTACCCTCAAGCGCGCATTTACGTCACCACAGAGGACAGGATGAACTACTGCGACATGGTCTTCAAGAAGGAGACGGGTAAAGACAGGTGAGTCACATCTTTATTGCTTTATTTGCTACTGTTTTCGGCATCACAACATTCCACAGCAGTGCTCCGATTGTTCGCTCTGACAGATTCACCACTCAGTACTTTGTATTCACTGTTGTGTTCACTGCTATAATATCGACCTTATCGATGATGATGCTGTGCTCAAAGCTCTGTGCTTTCCTTGTCTCAAATCCTCCCTTTCATGAGGCCTTATCAAAGTGAGTTTCCTAACTTTCCCTCTGAAGAGGCTCACGGCACTGGAGGCCATTTTCTAAGGAAAAGCTTTCATGAGGAGCCTCAGAAGAATGTGCAGCCTGGGTTATAGACATCAGCCAAATGCCAGTCTGGGGAACATCCAGTTAATGAGGTAGCACGATTCTGGCAGTCTTTCTAAACACCCTGGTTATAGCCGGTCCCACGACTTCTTTGCCAGCGTCTTGGCACGTTTTGAATTACCAAAAAACTGTTGAATTATTCAAGTTACAGATCAGCAACCTTGAAAGTTGGAAAGAGTATTTCTTTGTTGAAGACATTTGGCAACAACATATGCTAAAATTGCACTCTGTTATTCAAAGCAAGACCCACCTAGCAACTCCTTTCTCTATCAAGTCCCCAAAGAGAATCGCAGGTTAATGACTGTGAGAGCCAGGCTCCAGGCTCTCTATTGTTTAGTACGAACCTCATTTCTCAGACCAGCTTCTGCTCATTTCCACAGAGCTCCGCACTCCTGCGTCTACCTCATGTCATCAAGACCTCTCGTAACTTCTTAAGAGGATTAACATGTTTGGTAATAGGCGACATCCGGTCCATTCCGGCTCCATTGTCTCGCTCCTATTCAGGACGGCAGGGTTAACACTGAATTTCATGTAGAGCGTCCGCGTTCAGCCTGCCTCAGCTGTTTCCAGAGACCCACAAAGCACAGATAGAGATGTGGGATTAGGGAGCACAGCTCGGGGAGAAGAATCTCATTACAGGAGACGATGCTCCTGGGTGTGATGCAGCGCTTCAATCATTACTCATTGGTAACAGTGACAGAAACTCAAGGTGTGAACAATGAACCGCATCCAATGTGACGATCTCCGATATGCCTGCTTCCCTGCCTGTCCGTCATGTTTGTCTGAAACGTGGCTGCACAAATACCAGTATTTAGAGGTAATTAGTGTCCGTGGTAGTGGCCGTATGTGACCGTATGTTTTAATGTAATCAGAGGGAGAGAAGGGAGAGACTTATATGATGATGTGTAGCTTATACATCATGGTATCACTCCAGAAATACACTACAGCTCTTTTAGTGGCTCACAGCCATGCTGCCTATTTTTTTCTTGAAGTCCACAGCAATATAACACTCTCAAAAATCTAAATGGATTTATTTCCTCCGCTTATCCATTCACAACAACATAACATGCTCTCTTAAATGCTTTTTACTGGAGCAGCTCATCTGCCTTTAGTCTGTCATTTGTGTGTGTGTGAGTGTTCACTGATTTACTGTCAGCTGCTCGCCGTACGGTTTGATCCTCAGCCTGGCGGTGATGGAACAGTGATGGAACAGTGATCGAACACAACTCTAATTATCCAGATGAGCCGCGAGCAGCAGAGGTAACGTGTCGCCTCAGCTTCCACTTTCTGGTCAGGTGGAATGCAATGCTGGCTGACTGACTCGCCAGCCCAACCGAGTAACCGTCTCTCGGCCTGTCCTCGAAAACCACGCGAAAACCAGGAATCTGTCAGAAAGCGCAGTCGTTTCTGGACAGCGGTGAGGAACTGATCTTGAGGAGACTCTGAGGTGGAGGAGTTACAAGGAGTTGAGTTAACGCCATGACTCGGGACAAGCTGATTTCAAGTCTGGAGCAGGTAGAAGAGGCCAAATGAGACCGTCAAGTGCCAAGAAGGAACTAATAAGCAGCTATTTTGAATCCCAATGACAAAGTGCGTGTTAATTCGAAGCAGATTTTAAGTATGTAAATAGGAAAAGCACAGGTGTTACTAATAACATAAAAGATGGGGCTCTGTTTCATAAAAGAGTCCCAGTAAGACATGGCGGTGAGCCTGCATGGACGATACACGTGTCTTTTCGTGTATGACATGTCAAAAGGTCACCTGTGAAAAAGACCTATTTCACAGTAGGTATGATACACTCATTTTTGTAGTATAAACTGTATTGTCTGCAGTGAGCATACAAACCATTGTTTTTTTAGAGGAAACAATAGAATACACCAATGGACATCAATCAAACTGCAGTTTTGATTAACGTTGCCATTTAACGTCACAAAGAGAAAAGACCATGTTTTTCCAAAGATGTATTGCAAATGTTTTGTTATGTCCTCACACTTAAAAAATAATAATAATAGTAATTTAAAAAAAAGCTTGATTAAAGTGCGGCTTTTTCCTGCCTATGAACAAACTGCTTAAATTTGGCGTGTTGAATTTGCAGACAGTGGTGATGACAGAAACTGCTCTAGTAACACTTCAGGAAGCAAACAAAGAAGTATTGTGTGTGTGTGTGTGTGTGTGTGTGTGTGTGTGTGTGTGTTTCTATTTTGTAAGGTGTAATTCTGTAGTCAGTGTAACTGACGATCGTTGGCTGTGGCAAAAAAAAATTGATAATTTTTACAAAGAACAAACGCATACTGTGAATATGTCTAAATATATACACTGCATAATTTAGTGGTTTGTATGGAATTGAGTGTATGTTCTAAATATAAATAATGTTTAATGAGTTTGTTATAGGATGTACATTAATCTGCAGGAGCAATGCTCTAAACTCTTTAACATCCAGTTATTGAATACAAGATAGATTCAACATCGTCTCACACACGGGATTCTGCGGGTGGAAACTGTCTTTGTTTGCTGGCCGCAAAAAAACATCTGTATTTATGTATTTTCAAACAAAGAGACAGCTGAGTCATCAAGATACACCTCCCTATCTCTCTGTGGCACATCATCACGTTGACGTCCAGGGACATTTCTCGCTCCTCATCCTACACGTCTAGCTCCATCCGAAAAGGCAATTTGACAGAAAATAGGCAGAAAAAAAAATGTGAATCAACATCTAACAGGAGCCAAGACAATGAAAAGTCTGACCACAGCCCTGGATGTAAACGTTTTTTGACAGCAGCTTAAACACATGATTCATGTGATTGCGCACTGCGGGGGGGGGGGGGGGGGGGG